CTTTCTTCCTTCCATCCTTCCTTTCTTTCTGTCCACATTTTGCGTGTCAAAATTAACGTCATCACAAAGAATACGAACTGGTAGTTAAAATTCAAAAAGGCCAAACAATAATGATTTTCTCCTCCATCAACGTAGAAACAGCTGAATCGATTGACGTTTAATTTTAGGTACCTCGAGTCGAAAATGTTCCCAAATGTTGAATCCTAATGCTAATTCGAACCTGTTATCTTAATCTTGGATTAAAACTTATTTGAAGACCTTAAATTAATACTATTCATATTTCAAAAAAACAAGAGCCTTGGGGCAATCAAATGAGCTAAACACTGATTCAACCTTGTCGCTAGGATTACCTGCTCTCTATGTAAATATGACCGTTGATTAATTTGCTCGAAGAAAAACAGCAACATCAAAGAGTGAAAGTGTGTGTATTCAAGGTTCTCGAAATTTCGATGATTGATAAGATGGGTAAAAAACGAAGTGCTTTTAATTCGTTTTCATTTTTCTTGTACCAAATCAAAAGGATTAATTATAAATTAAATTAAAAAATCTAACTTAATTATTCTGAAATATAAAGAATGATAAAGAAAACTTTTTTTATAAACTAATTTGATAATATAAAAAGTCATTCTAAATTTTATGCAATAATCATGCCAAGTGCCAAAGTTAATATTGGAAGCCATGTGACAAGTGACGTCATCTCAAATTAGCCAATGAGATATGCTTTGTATTATGCTTTGCTTTTATAAGTATTCATCTGGTTTCTCTCCTGTCATTTGCCTCGCTCTTCAAACTGTGTTTTTTAAATCTTTTTTAACAGGATAAGAACATAAGTTCACCTGCAACGCTAATATGGACGGCAATCTAAGTACTGCTCCAACTATTGATCCACTGGCAGTAACTGCGCGTTACGAGTGGCAGGTCATAGTCGAAACACTGATATCTATTCTCATTGCATTCTTCTCCATATCTGGCAACACGCTTGTATTTCTTGCAGTGTACCGTGATGCCAGCCTACGAACAGTTCCCAATGCCTTTATCATCAGTCTCGCTATTACAGACTTTCTTTTCGCCACTACAAGACAACCCATGTTCATCCATACTTTACTGGTAGGGCACTGGGACTTCAGTGATGCCGTCTGTCAATTCCAAGGCTTCCAAGGATATAATCTATTCGCAGCAACACTATTCACACTCTCTGCCATCAGCATTAGCAGATTCTGCCTGATCGTCTACCCATTACACTATAAAAGTATATTCTCCAAGAAATCCGTTCCCAGAGTCATAGCATGCATCTGGGTGTTTTCTGTTCTTCTCTGTATTGGTCCTCTGTTTGGTTGGGGCGAATACAAGTTTGATACACAAGGCTCCATCTGTACTTTTGACCACAAGTCAAGCAAATCGTACCACATCTTAACCAACACCATCGTACAAGTCAATGTTGTTATCCTTATCTTCTGTTATGTGATGATATTCCGAACGGTTCGCGCACACCAAAGGCGCATCAGACTACAGGAAACGATTGAAAATGGACTAACAATCGAGAACGAAGCAAACTCGCCCGAAAACCAACACCCAAATGAGCATTCCCATGAGCACTTCAAACGCGAGGAGATCTACATCACCCGGACATTGTTAATTGTAGTCTGTCTGTTTGGGATGTGCTGGCTACCGACCGCTATTCTCAGTAATCTTGAGTCAGCCAATGTTAATCTTCCACGCTGGGTGCGTTTACTAGAGACCATGAGTATTGGAATGAACTCTATGGTCAACCCTTTGGTCTATGGAATCAGAAGCCCTAAGTTCAGAAGAGCATTTCTGCAGGCTTTAAGATGCCAATAAAACCAGTTGCTTTACAGCAATCCATGGCTACATGGCCACCCTTAGTTTTGACGTTCCTATCTACAACATTATTATTATTCGGCTTTGAAACTTTCCTGATTCAAGACGCGAGATACATCGCAGTTAACTCGAAAAATCCGTGATGCCAGGAATTCTGCGGCAACAAAAATTGTGTTCAGTTTGTACACCCTGTGAGCATTAAGGGGCTAGAAGAGGAGATCCTGTACGAAGTAGCGCTTGCTCTAACACGAAATAGATCACTAGTAGTACCAATGCACTTTACCTCACGTATTGTAGAGCGTCATCCGAGACTGATCGTGCGAAGATCCTCGGGCATTGGTTGGCGAGACGTTTGGTGAGCGGATGTCTTCTTTATCTCTTCATGAAAGCTGTTCTGCAGAAATATATAAAAAGAATGTACAATTTTGGTAAGCGCGCGATTTATAATCAAACGTAGGAGTTTCTAGCTAATATTGTTAAAAGTCCCGTGTTTATTTCATTTATTTTTTTCGTTTCTGATTGATGATGAAGGAGAAATGTCTTTTAACCGTTAGCGCCGATGCTTCATCTTTGCTTCAAGGGTTTTTCAGCAGGACCGCAGCAAGAGAGCAAACAATAACGCGAGCAAGAGAGCAAATAGCTTTTGGAACTATTAGTACAGGTGTTCCAAACCCCTAATAAAAGACTCTAAAAAAATCTTTCTACACGTTTGATAGTTTGCAAATACATGTTAGGCCTAGGAAACGCAGCACAGTGGACAATAAAACACTCATTGTAACGCTTCAAGCACAGGTATATTTGTTTGACTTGTTTGAGTGACATGATTAAAGTCTGTTTAAAATATTGACGGAATCGTTATGTTATAAGGGAGCGAAAACTGAACTATTTCGGTTCGATAAAGCAGTTAATGTCATCAGTTCTTCAAGTGATCTTTCAGCAGATGGCAATCAGTTGACAAATCTTGAAGATCTTTTCCTCTTATATAAGAGGATATTGGACTGCTCGAGGTAAAAAGAATCGGAAACTGGTGTTCTATAAAATAAATATCTTAATTCTTATTCATTCAACCTTCATACTTGTTCTCTGAGGGTTTGAAGCAAGCAAACAAAGCCAATCAATGGATAAATGAATGAAAGAAGGAATCAATCCGTAGTGCGCATGCGTGTAACTCCAAGTAGATTTTTCCTTACCAAATACAAATTCAAATAATTATTTTTTCCTCAGCTATCAAAGTTTTTAATGTAGGATAAAAATAAGATGTCAAATTTGATTGTTACCCCAAACTGACAATCGCTAGTTTTTCAAAAGCCATCCCACACGGAAAGTTTTGATTGTGGGTGTCTACCCATCATCGACAAAAGTGACACACCAGGTCTGCTGGTCATAGCAAGGGGTTAATCATCTACGGTCTAGGGGCCGACTAACCTCTCCCTTAGGCTTTTGCCGAGCTTCCTGATCAGGCTGTAATTCCTCCCGGGGATAGCGGTGTTGGGGTCGAAATCTCTGGCATAGCCGTAAATGCTTCGCGCTGCCATACGACGCTTCAGCATTCGGGTCTGGGAGTATGGTCTTCGGTTATTTTTATTAAAACAAATAATAAAGAAATTTTAAAGAAAAATTATGTGTGTAATCAATGAATTTGTAAATGACAAGAACGCATGCGCGATAGGCGTAGCCGCGAAGGCTTCGTCTTGCATGCCATACTACGCTTTAGCAATCGATATCTGGAGGTATGGTCCTGTTATACACCAGTCTATTCCAGTTTTCTATTTTCAAATCCTTTAACGCATATGTTTTTGCAATGCTTGCTCTAGAGGTTTAGCTGCCCCATGTGGGAGGCCGAATACTTCCTTCCATATCTTCCAATTTTTCTTCAACCACATTCCCTACCAAACGCCCGCTTGTTAAAAAGCTCCAGAACACCACGTGCTTTTCCATGATATGCTTTCATTTATTGTTTCTTTTATCTAGTAACTTGTTTTTACATCTGTATAATTTATTTTAAAGGCATAAAAATAGTTGCTTAAAAAATCGAAAATTCATTGAAAATTTTCCGATTATCATATTTTAGACAATAAATAAAATAAATACAATGAGTTCACGACGTCCACATGATGATGAAGATAACAAGTGTCTACATAACGGATCACGTTTATATACAACTATATATACAACTTTTATAAGATGCTATAAATAGTATTAATATTATAAATAAATATTATAATAAAGTCAAACAGATTCAGATTTATATTTGATTGATATAAAATACCTAGTAAGACCATACAACAAAGTCAAAATGGCGGTCGTGACGTCACGCGTACACCATGTTGGATGATACATACGAACTATCTAGCAATATAGCACTATTGCCTTCATGAATCGACCAGTATGGCGATTATGTTACACATCTTCTATGTTGGCGGATAATACGAAAAAAACTCCAATATAGCTCTCGGGCGAAGATGGCGGCCGTGACGTCATATGCACTGAAATCTGTAAGGACTATGAGTATGTTTCCTAAGGATCGTACAAGAATGCGATAGGTAACGCAATTTCAATCCATTTCCATACCCGCATTCCAGTCGTTGAGTCACATCTTTTGAATAAGGCACGGTGATGGTAATAGACGGCACGGCAGTAATGTGCACATCCAGGACATTCAGCTTTCCGGAAGTAACGTGGAGACCTTGTCGTGTCGTCGTCATTCACCCATCTCCAAGGACACAGACTACTTCCGGTTTTATTATCACTGAGAGAATTAGACGCAGACGAAGCAGAACGTTTTGTACGGCGAGGAATCTGAATGCCTTCGACGGCTTCAGCAATTTCTATCTTTTCTACAAAATGATAGTGTTGACGAAGATGTTGGAATTTTCTCTTTACAGGCATGCTTCTAGGAGTACAATTACGAGTCGCTTCTGCTAGGAAAGTTGTGACGACAAGGACGAGAAGACATATCCGCAAAATCTAGACGCGAATAAAAAAAGGAGCATAACATAAATAATGGTTCAAGATGGTCTTAAAATTAAGTAAAAACTGAAAGGATAAAAAAATCTGAATTTAATAAAAAAATTCTGAATTCAATAAAGGTTCTCAAGAAGCATAAAGCTAGAATTACCTCGATGTTTAATAGTGCCATTGTTGAATCTCTCTTCAGGGTGCCTTGTTCTTGTTTGTTCTGCTTTTTAGTTCTTGAATCAACTAGATGAGATCTACTGGGGAAACGATTTGTCCCACCTTTTATAAGCCATGAGATTCTCTTGCAGTGAGATTTGGCTGTTTATGTAGTTTTACTTAATTGTTGGAAAAAGTCACAATTCCCATTGGTTGTTGAGTGCGTGATTCTCCAGACGCGGAAAAAAAGGGTGTAAAAACAGGCAGGCACGCGTACTTGGCGCCAAAAACTGAGTCAATGACGTCGATGATTTTTCTGTATGCACCAACTTGACCAGGGGATTACCCTTCCATATAGCGAGTATTCTATTCTGAAGTCAACATGCATGATAAACAGTCTCTAGACATCGTCAATCGTAAATCATAAAATGAAATAGTTAAAATTAAAGTCAGTATTAAATTTACTAACAAAAAAATACTATAAGAATACTTTACTCGTATACAAAAGTATTACTATAGACAATTAAGCTTCAGTTTAAAATCTAAAATGAAGATATGACAATATGGTAACATTTCAAGGCGGGTTTTTCTCTTTTAGTATCATAAATAATCAAGAGATTAATAGTATTCATGTATGTCAAACGTCAATAGTGCTGATTAATATTGTCTAGCTAGTATACATGCATGGCCTTAAAAAAATAAGCTTCTATTGAAGTAGTAACCTTTGCTGAATTGGGGAAAGGAAAATGTGCTTTTGCTTTGCTTGCCCAAATAAATATCAAGTCATTTTTGTATACAGATTTCGAAGAAAGAGCTAGAATTTAAGTGGAATATTGTGGCGTGAGATTTGAAGCGCATTTCAAGAGCACCACTTGATTTGCGATGCTTAAAGAAAATTTATTCTGAAAACAGACTAAAACTGAGAGACGTTTTGAATATTCCATTATTTACTTATTTCCACTCTCTGCCTTTTTTCACCCAGAAACAAACACATAAAAAAGTACCGGTAAAGGCTTTAAAATGTCAAATTCAGAAACAATGTCTATCGAGATAAAAAAAAAATTAAAAAAAAAAAGAATATTGAGTATACTGGCGTGCATGAATTATTGGGTAAAAATACGGCGTCTAAAAATAGCACGAAAAGTTCCGCAAACACGTTCAATGACGTCACAGGTGTCTATATATAGAATAAGAGACAGCATAATTCGACAAAATCTTTAGCGCTATTTGTGATGTATTTGTATTAAGGTTTTTCATTTGAAGTCACGCTGTAGAGAAATTTGTTTGATCTAAAGAAGAAGTTGATATATATATATATATATATATAGTATGTATACATATATATAAACACTGGAAGCTTCTGCACACAGTCCACCGGTCAGGCTTGATCACACTGACTTTTGATCTCAACTCAAGAATAATTTACTGGGCGTGGGAAAGGCTTGGGATCTCTAAATTCTATATTTAGATTACAATAAAATTCATTCAACGTGATTTACCAGTTTCTAATTCAATGATTAAAAAGCTTGAGCTCTAAACTATTAAAAATACGGGCGAAAAAGAACGAGCATTTTCATTTAGATATCTTTAATACGTTGCTGGAAATCGTACGAAAACAAGCAGATGAATAAATGTAACGTGAGGATGAAAACTGAAAAAAATTATGACAACAATGACTTTCTAATTAGATCTCACGAAATAGCATGAGCCATTATAATCAGCCGGCGCTGTTGGGTTACGGAAATGCAATAGAACTATTTCGCATTCGCCAGATCATCTCCAGTCCCCGTTACCTGAGAACCTAAAATTCTAAACCGAATATATTGTTATATTTGTTATAGTTAGTTTTGGAGGAGTGAGTGGTTGAATACGGCGCAACACTGTATTCGCGTTATTTCATACAGCTGCGCAAAAATCAACACTATAGCCAATAAATAGCCAAGTTGACAAGCACAGAAAAGCCCAAGAAGAAAGCCTCGGTAAGAAATGATCACTATCTAGCCAGGTCTGAAGTGCTTAGCGGAAGAATAAATTTTACCAAACAAATCAAAAATAGAACAAATGCAGAGGTTCTGTTTGAGTGCGCATTAAGTACTGTTTATCTCCATATCATACGTTCAAATGACCTTGCACGCAAATAGGAAGGTCAGTAATAGCGGATGTGATCGGGGCAGAAGGAGAACGCCCTTGGATTTTTATACGTTGCCCAAGTATATCTTTCAGTGAATTTGGCTTCATATAACCGCCATTTTTACAATAACTAACAAATTTCTCGGGCGCTGATTGGTTATTTTGTATCATCAATAAGAGGACAGACAGATAAAGTTGACGTCAACGAGCGCGCGCTCTTTCCGTTAGTTGTTATGTTCATTAAAAATGAGAAGTTTATATCGGTTTTTTTTAATTGTAAAATACTACTTTGACAATGTGATGACGCAATTTATCGTCAATAAGAGGGCAGACACAAAAAAAACTGATGTCAATTTGTTAAGTACATGTTGGATGCGTGGGCGAGCAGCAGTTAGGTGGACTCGCGAAACGCCGACAATGCCAAAAATCGCATATCGAAAAACACCAGGGGGGGGTGGGGTTTTGGAGGTCGGTTAACCGCCCTACAGGGGGTCTTGCGCGATCGGCCGACAGCGCGAAAGGTTCCTAACTGCTGCTCTGTTGGGGTCGTAAACGGAGGGAAAGATATTCTTTAGATATACATGGCATCCGTCAACGACATTCAAAACGAAACTGTGCGCAGGCTGGGAAATCAGGTGATGGATAACTCAGATGCGGATTTTGTCTTCGCTACATTCATGGAGGGCAAGACAGACAAGACTATGAATCACGAGATGGCTGAAAGGATAATCGACAGAATGCCGGACGGTGACTACCGTTTGGAGTTGACGTTCGTGAAGTATTTGGACGGCGAGTGGGTGATAGAAAAGGGCCGTAATCCCATCAGGGCGTCTGGTAAGCAGAATTTGTTCGTTTTGAATAAGCACACGCGACCAGGGGCATTGGAGGGAATTGACATGCTCTTCTATGAGGTCGCTTACCCGGTTACCGTGGTCATTTACGGTGCGTACGAGATTAAGGAGCCGGATGTCAAAAAGTTGCGACCAATGCGACATCCAGGTAATTGTGTCGGGAAGTTGGTAAGAGAGTTCTTCGAAGATTCCTCTCGTGGCGGTAAGCTTACGCCAAAAAGAAGAGAAGCCATCAGGAAATGGGA